ACACACACACACACTCTCTCCCCTGTTGAAGCTGCCAGTGAAACCAGTCTTCTACTGTTGGCCACTGAGCAGCTCTAATGGAGCAGTTTGGGGATAAATACTTGGATAAATACTTTGCTCGAGGGCATCTTGGTGGTTTTCTGGAAAGCAAGTGTTTCTGCTTCATTTTCTCTGTTCATATTTTCCAAGACTGCGTGATGATTTGAACCAGCGAGCTTGCAGTCAAGCCTTCTGAGGGTGGGTACACACTAAAGGATTATTCGGCTGATTTACAGTAAACCACATTTGACAATCTAGACAATCGTAGGGAAAAATCCTGATCCAAAGTTTAGTCAGGCCTGATATTTGGCAATATTGAGCAGTGTGAGGTGTTCAGATTCAGTTTTAAAGTGTTTAAGATGGGATATTATGGAAAACAAGATATTTTGTAGTTCAGTGCAAGTGAAGAACAAAGTTTGTTGTTTCACTACATTTTTATGTGATCAAATTGAATAAACCAATTTGAACTGCCTCTCAGTTTGATGTCAGATAAGGGATTGACAGTTGAGCCGTTCCAGACAGCTAATCACAGTAGTAGTAATGACAGTAAACACAGTAGTAATGACAGTACAAACAACATCTTTCAGAGCTGGATATGCAGCATTTGAAAGTTGGTTGTCTAGCCTAGAAAGAAATAGAAAAATATCAAAGTTGCAAAGATATTTGAGTAAACAGTAAAAAAAAATAATAATTAAAAGGAAAATATTTGAGCAGGTCCAGTCAAAAAGAGATGCTCAGGCTGCAATAATGTATATGTTGGGACAAAAAGTACAAAGGACAGTTACGTGGATTATACGCAGATTAGACACAGACAAACATGGTGCGGTGGAGTGACGGAGAGGACTTTGACCATCGCCGACATCATCAGTAATAAGGGCAGCACCTGCGTCCAGCGGATGGGATTCAGCCGGCGCCGGCATCCGCAGAAGCTGAGGCTGCATCCACATCCATTGCCAAGTCGAAACACTGCTTCGGGCTGGTGTCTGAGAGAGAGGAAAGATAAACAGACAGCCACACACAGACACTTAGCCATGCTGAGCATGAGTCACACACTCAGAGCACACACATTCAGCCATGTGCACACTCATACAGATGGCAGACAGAGAGTGAGTGTGGAGATGCAGACACTTGGATGCATCTCTCACTGGGTTCCCAAAGCCATGTATCTATGTCAGTGCTGTCTAGACTAGCACAGGAGAAAATATCATATGCCTCCTGAGATAGATATTGTTAAGATAAGGTAGATAAGTCAGTCATTCAACAAGAAAAATAAATAGGTCTTAATTTTCTGCTTGAAGGATTCCACAAATTTGGCTTCTCTAATTGCAAGAAGGACTTGATTACAGAGATTCATCTCATTGGGAAAACATTGTGTGTGACCTGCTTTTATCCTGCAACCTAATTTAAAATGGAATACAGGTTAACTTCAACTAGTAGTGTGTTTTCAATTAAAGGTCCAGTGTGTAATATTTAGGGGGCTCTGTTTGCAGAATATGGCAATTGGAATATAATATTTATAAGTTCATTACTGTATAATTACCAAAAAGTAGCACCCAAATGCTTACATTTAGCCATATATTATGTTAATGGTTGTGTGTGAATATATCTTTGCTTATTCAATTGATGTAGACCTTAAGAACTCCCCAGCAACATCATTTACAAATTTTACCTCACCTCAGTGGGCATATGTAGTGACAAGTTGTTTTTTTAAAACCTCCAAATCCACCATCATTACTCCAGTTATCATTGCAGATGAGGAGTTGTATCTGTTTTGGAATGCAGTGAGTTTTTTTCCCACAAGCTGGGTGACAGTTTTATCCATGTTAATAAGTTGATTCAAATGATGTAATATGCCACCCTTTTGGCTCGGGTTTTTCATCCGTAGCAGCTTCCTGCATGAATGGATGCAATCATAGAGTCCTTGAAAATCTTGACAGTGAATGGTATCTTCTTCTAAGCTAATATCCATAAATGTTGCTAATGTGACTCCCTCTGCTCATAACACAAAATAGAGATGCGCATTTTCTTGCAGTGGTGAGTGGAAAAGTCATGTCAGATTTTCAGTGTGTTGTTTGGAGGTGCTTCTTTTAGTTATAAAACCTCCATCATTATGGTGGGTGGTGTAAGGATCAACCATGTTAGCTCACTGACGGTTTCTAATGCTGCCTAGGCCGCTCCCTGCAATTTGTCAATTTCTTGCTCAGTGTGCTGTGGCTTACGTCACCTTGATTTTAAAAAAAAGTGTCCTGAAACTAAAAACATGGAACAAAATAAACTGGGATAATGAACAAGAGTTTAAAGTATTAGTATATAATCAGGCTCTTTTTTCAACTATTTCCACTCATCTGGCCTCTTGAACCAGGCACCACTAGGTTACGTTTTTCACTTTTTACATCCTTTGTTGACACCATTCCCTTTCTCGTACCTTGTCTTTGTCCCTGTCTCTTTGTGCAAGGAAGGCTTCAAGTCATTT